TCTAAATTATTCTTCCTATATTAGAGCATAGTGTGTGAGAGGATTGTATTCACAACTTATTATACAGCCTTTGATAAGTTAACCAAATAAACACACTGGGTGGGGATCAGTTGGGATTCATTTACTTTCAACTAATTAATAGTGAAAAATGAATTCTAAGGTCCAAGAAAATTAATTTCATGTTCATGCTTCTTTTAAAATAATTTGTTATTCTGTGGAAACCTTTTTAATCAAGGTAGTTTTTCACTAGCATGACACAAAACTTTAAACTATGCATAGAATAAATCTCTACTCAACATATTCATTTTCCTTTTATTTCTAATCATGACAAATTTTGGAATGTATACTGAAGTTAAAAAGGTGAAGTTTTCTTCTGCAGAGTCTCCATCTGGCCTGTTTTGGATACTAATAATGGTCTAAGATTGGTTGGTATAGGGCAGGCAAAGAAGCATTAACTTAGAGAGTTATTTACCCATCCCTGTTCCCTGTAAGTCCTCCTAAACCAGGGGTGGGCAAACTTTTTGACTCGAGGGCCACAATGGGTTCTTAAACTGGACCGGAGGGCCGGAACAAAAGCATGGATGGAGTGTTTGTGTTGGAATGTATACTGAAGTTAAAAAGGTGAAGTTTTCTTCTGCAGAGGCCCCATCTGGCCTGTTTTGGATACTAATAACGGTCTAGGATTGGTTGGTATAGGCAAAGAAGCATTAACTTAGAGAGCTATTTACCCATCTCTGTTCCCTGTATGTCCTCCTAAACCATAGCAGAATGCCATGGGTGTAACTGATATTTGGAGGCAAAAAAAAAAAAAAAAAAAGATAAAGAAAAGTCATAAAGTTAAATAGAGTAATCATGTTTTCCCTTGTGTGTGTTTTATTTTGTTCTGTTTTTTCAGGATCAGATTTATGATGTCAATTTCTATTAGGATAAAAGCATGAAAACATGAAATGATTATGTGAGCATGCCAATTTTGAACCTGAAAATAGTTTCTAATGCAGGGGTGGGGAACGTCCAGCCCATGGGCCTGTATAGCACCAGCAAGATCATTTGGTCTGGCCCTGCCAAGGCATGAGGGGTGAGTTAATGAAATGTTTGACCAAATATAGCAGGCTAATTTTTTTAAGTTGATAATTTTGTATGGCCCATGAATGACGTTATAAATATCCAAATGGCCCTTGGCAGAATAAAGGTTCCCCACCCCTGTTTTAATGGAATGTATTTGACAAGCAACCCCTACTTTTATTGACTTAATGGGAGTATTGGTTTATGAATCCACAATTCCTAAGAAAATGATTTAAACAAATGTGGGACATGTGTACACAAATATATGAGTTGGCTCTGGTAGTGAAGAATGGTGTCTCTGAAAAAAATAAAATCCTAGGGGTTATAAATAGGTCAAAACGAATTAGATTTTTATTTATACTTCAGAAATGTAATCAAGTGAATGAAATGATTTCATATACATTTTTACATCCAAGAGCAGTGACACACTGTTCATACATTAATTCTGTAGGAAAATGTACATCCTTCTTTTTTGTTGTTGTTAGGTAAGATCTGCCAAGTGTTCATGGACAAAAAAAAACACCCACCTTTCATTGCAACCTGAACTAGTGAAATTACAAGGGGTCAGCCATGTTCTTTCAATAGCTTTATGGCATTAATAAAGCCGTTGTCCAAATGCCTGCTAATATTGGCATGTGTAGTATGAAGCCTCACAAATTCTCTAAAATGTGAATGTCCAATTTGAAAACTATGCAATAACCTAATGGATTTTGTGACTGAATCTACCCAGGGACATTAGAGTCCAGGACGGTTTATTTTAAGTGTACTTCTGTAGCTCTATTTCTAGCTGACTATTCTTCCATTGCCTAATCAGAAAGAAATGCATTCTTATGAAGTTAAGCAGCTGTAGGCACAGAATGCTGATGACATTCTCTCCATATCTGAGTTGCCTAAAGAAAACCTAGTTAGCGGTAATTCTACCAAATACTTGTAACATTCACATACATTTTTAATTGATTTTCAAACAGCACTACTGCGCCATGAATTTGACCACATAGAATATAAGCCTTAAGCCCACTAGGTTTAAGCAATTGTGTCTTTGTAGACTAAAACTATGTAAAATAAAATCTGATAACTCCCTGGTGTTAGAGGTAGACAGTTTTCTTTCAAATCCTAGGTTTGGTCTTTTATTTTATTCAGCAGTGAAAGCCATGAATACAGAACAAATAACACCTCTTACAATTCTCAACCATGACTTCTAACATCAGAGAATTCAAAGTATGAACATAGTACACAGTAATGAAAAGTATCAAAATTAGTTTACCTCAAAAAAGATAAATAAAACAGGTATATTCCACCAATACATAAACAGATGTTTGTGCTACAGTTAAAATTTGTTGTATACAAAAGATCATAGTCCCCGTAATCAGTTTGATAGAAGCAAGAATACATGAGCCATTTAAATTGTCAGACATTATGCTTTATAAGGTATGCACAGAAGTTCAAGCAATAAATACATACATTAGTTCAAAGCCTTACAATAGCTACGCAAAGCAGATGCAGAAAAGCAGATTTGCTATTACTAACAAGCAATGATATAAGTAAAAATTCATGAAATGCATTAAAGCAACATTTTTCTTAGAAAAAGTCTGGTCATTTATGGGTCCACCAACATTTTTACATAATATGCACAATTATCAAAATACAGACCAAGCATTTCAGAAAACTCCAAAAAACCTAAAATCTATTTTCAAAGCAATTGCAGTTTTGGAGGTTTTTCTGGTATAATGTGCAAGCAGCTATATTTTTTTTATTGTATTCATATAAAACCCATGCAAAACTCTACAGGTATATGCATTCTGTGGCTGAGACTTCCTTTCAAAAGTTTTGTAACTGAGGTATGCATACTTTAGCATTGTAGTCTTAGGCCACCCTTCTGATGGTAGAGCTCTCACAGTTACTTTCAGTCCATCAAAACCTTTGAACATGCACATGAAAGACCCATTTTCCCTTCAGATAATCCTGACACGATCCTAGATGACTGAAAAGCATCCTTCACAATACCACTCCTTCTCTGGAAACCGCATGGTAAACTTCCCGTTCGTTGATCATGACCCAAAGACAACATAATGAAAAGTAGCAGTTACTGTGACGTTCTCACATTTCATGCAATCTGCCATAATTGTTCTAATTTTTTTCTTTTTTGTCTTTTTTTTTCTTTTTCTTTTTTTTCTTTTTGCAGAGGTAGAAGCTTTCAGAAAGCCATTTGGGTAAGTGGGAAAACCCTTTTGAAAGCCGTTATGTTCTTTTATTTGGTGTGATAGATGACTGGGTGTCTCTCTAACTCTATTTGCTGACTTCAGCAAAGAATAAATGATGAGCTTAGTTTGCAAGAACCAGCTCCATAACATGGAACTGGAACATATGTTAAGCTCTAGCAGCCACCTTCTGTCAAAACTGTTTGTAAAGCAATAACCATAATCAGGTTATGAGGTCCCTTGGTTGGGGGAAAAAAGTATTATCAAGACTTGGCACAGCACATGAAAAGCAACATGTAAAGTTTCTAGGTTTTAAGCAAATATCTGACTATGTTATTTTCAATACACCATAATGCATCATCATAGTTTGGGGGTTTGGAGATGTCAAGAAAACCAGCATTCCAACAATTTGGCCTGTGCAAGTCTTTGAAAGGGAGAGTATTGTTAGTGTTAATATCCCGTATAAGCAGAGGCAGAATTATATGTAACTTTGGTTTGACTGAAAATAAATACCATGGACTACAATTGCTATAATCTTTGCTTTCAGTGTAAAAACTCAGCTAGATCCCTTTAAAATCAATATGAAATTAATTTTTGGCTTTACTAGACCTTTAATGTTTGGTTCCTATTTTTTGTTTTTTTTTTTTCGTTATAACTTAAGTCTATAAAAATAGTACACAACAAAGGTTCAGACCATACAAGACATCTAACAACATGTATTCACCACCAAAAATAAGTGACTGGATTGGGGAAAACAAAAGCACAGTGTACTCTATATATATAACAATATGCAATCTGCATTTGCATCAAGTACATCATCCTTTTGGTCAGTGATCCACATTTGTTGCTTTCTAGCATATCATAACTTCCACTGTGGATTTTGTCCTCACCTCTGTCTTTAGTGAAAGCAAATCTTCATTGCATTTAGATGGACTTTTGGTCTCAGAAGATTACTCTGTGACTGAATTAGCTTTTTAGTTGTGGTTTTTGTCATATTTAATTCTTTGTTTAGGGCTAAATGAAAAGATCCCAGAGGTCATCAGAAAACAGCAGGTAGTTCATGGAAAAGGTTCCTTTGTATTAATTGAAGTTACAGAAGGCTGACCAAAGCGTGTGGCTGCTTCTGTCCTTGAGCTCTTGGCCATGGTTAGAGTTGGCTTTGGTTTGCAGCTGTAGCCTTTGACTGTGTTTGCAGGTAGACAAAGCTTTATCACAAGGAGGTAAAGAGTACAGTTGTAAGATCTATGCAGATATGCAAATGTTTCTATGGTGCTTGCACAGATAATGTTAGCTTAGGATTGCACTTTACATCTTAACACTAACAGCACAGACTGGAAGCCTAAGGTTTTAGATGGTTGCAACAGTCTAATTACTGCGTTTTTGTAATTACTAACTTATGTCATTTACAGTTGGTGGCACCAACATAAAAACTAATGTTCTGTTGTTCAAAATTCAGCTAGATACAAGCAGTGACACTAATTTCTGATACTACTCCTGTGCAAATTAAAAACAATAGCAACAAGTTGAACTTGACCAGCAATTGTTTCTAACATTACAACTACTGAATGCTGGAAAATTCACATTAATGAAACTAACACTATTTTTGGCAGTATATGAGGCGTGTTTGCTTTTTACAAGACATGTATCCTCATATTCAGTCATTTCATGAACCCTTAAGAGCCACATTTTTAAATGGGCAAAGCCATTATAGAAAGAACAGTTCCTTTTTTTTTTCTAAGA